ATTCTATGGGACTGAGAAGTATTATTTTCTACTTTTTAGTCCATTTATAAAAGCGTTGTATATTAAAAAGTTTTTTTTATATTATTTATTTTCTACTTTTTAAGCTCGGAACACTTTGACGACAGCAAGCGACAAGCAGCATCTGTAAAATTTTAAATACACACGTTCTTACAGACACAATTATTTTGACGACAGCACGACATCTTGGCTGCAGGACTGCAATTGTCGACGTCGCCAAATTAAATCTATTTCTAATTTTGCCGGCGACAATGAGTAGATGTAGTGCTGCAAAATTAAATTGTCGCAAAATTAATCACATATTCTTGATTGTTCATGTTTTTCTTATTTACTTAAATAAAAATGAAATAAAAGTGAAATAAATATTCCAAAATGTCAAACTTTAAAATCAGCTGTTTGCTATGTCGCTGAGGTCTTCAAAATGTCTAAGAAGCTGGCTTCAAGGCGACATTTGTCGACAAAATGATGTCGCTGTCGTTACGTCGTGAAGTTGCAGTCGCAAAGTGTTCCGAGCTTGAGTCCTGTCTGAATAAAATTTTGCAATAGATATTAAAATAATTCAACGATATTAATAGAAAGGTGCACACACATGCATTTACATATGTGTGTACATACAAACGAGCACCAATTAATTTTATTTAAAGAAATGCCGTGTCGTCTATTTCCGCCGATATGCGTGTATAAACCCTCCTTAAAGTCTAGCCAAAAAGCCAGCAACTCACACAACAGGTTCCCCAGAGCAATTCGCTCGAGAAAGTGGTACCCGGTACACGTAATACACGGCACACAGCACAAGAATCCGCCAAAACAGGCAACCCGGCCCAAAATTACCACCGTAGAAGGCAGAAACCCCGAGCGGCAGTTCAGGAGCCAAAGAATTACCCTTAAAACGGCCACAGGAGCTTAAAAAGACCAACTGGTCCCCAACTGGTCCGAAGGTAAATAGTTTCGGCCTAGTCCCAAAGTGGTTCCAACTGGTTCCCGGACTTGCCCCGACTGGTTACCAATTGGTCCCACGAACTAGTTACCAACTGGTCTCAAAGTGGTTACCAACTGGTCCACCTATACCTCAAGTGGTCCACAAGTCACTTCACTTACAAAGCATTCGATTTAGTTGACAATAGTCAAACTAATTTTATTTAAAGAAACGGCGTGTCGTCTATTTCCGGTTTAGCAAACGTAGTACATAGGGCGACATCTAGATGTCATCTACCTCGCCCTATTCACTATGCTTTTTTATAGGAGCTTTTCAAAGCTTTGCTTTGGTGTCGGAACACAACATTGAAAGTTTCTGGATCCACAACATTGAAAGTTTCTGCAGAGAACTTAGATAGATAGAGAAGGTGCAAATTTTTGGAACGTAAAATTGTTTGGCTGAAAAATAAATCCATGGAATATCACCACAGCGCGATTAACATTTCAAGAAGAGTTAACAGAGAAAAATGTAAATTTCTGTTATGATAATGTTATATTTGTTGCAAGTGTCTAGCTATGTGTTGCTAGGTTGCATGTGAATGCAGAAACGTATTCATGTATATTTTTTTAATAAAATTAAATAAATTAATATAGTTAAATTATATTAAATGTACTTTTATATTAGTTAAAATTGCTGATTTGCATTTCTGCATGACCATTTGTTAAATATAATTTATTCAGTAGTTAATGTTGCTAAAAACTTAAAAAGCATCTGTTCAAGTTCGCTTCTTGTACGAGTATTATATCATGTAAATAGTAAAAATGCATGTTAGTTAAAAAAATGATAAAATTGGTTTTTTCACATACTCACTTTAAAGATGGACGCATTAACAAAAAAATGTATAAAGCAATGTGTTTGTTAACTTCAAAATTAATTTTCGAAGATATTGGCCAGGGAATGCTTTAACTCCAAAACGTAGATTTGTTATCTAATAAATAGGTGAAAGCTATGCAAATATGCAAACTCATTGGTGATTTGCCGTCGTCATTTGGGTCGCAAAAATCGTTTTTGTTTTTTTAACGATTCTTATTGTAGTTGCTACACTATTTTCAATG